GGCTCTAGTGGCATGTCAAAACTTTGGTATGAAGCCCTAAAATATAAAAAAAAAAAAAAAAATGAAACAATGAAATAGACAAATTGAAAAAAAAAATATTTAGAATCTAAAATCAAATAACCATGTGCTCTGGCATTCACTATTGTACATGTTTCACCAGTAGGGTTGGGGTATCGAGAATCGAGTATCGATTGGAACCAGGACTAACTTTTCATTTTTCCCGGAATCGTTCAAAAGTTAAAATTTCGATTCCTAGTTTCGATATTCACAGTCCGCCGACCAGAAGAAGAAACCGCCGAACAACACCAACGAAGAAGCGTCTACCGGAAGTGTTGGCATAACCGTGAGAAGTCAAACATGAGTAGCTTACGTCGGCGGTCCATAGTGTGGCTTCACTTTTCTAAAAATAACAAAATCTCGGCAAAATGCAAAATTTGTGACAAAAGGAGTATTTGTGACAGACGGAGTATTTCCTTCAGAAAGACCGTTGGTTAGCAAGGTTAGCTAAACTTTTTTGACCTTGCCTCTTAAAAGAATCGGAATCGAGAATCTTTAGGAACCGGAATCGAAACAAGGAATCGGAATCGGAATCAGAATCGTTCAAATTCAAACGATACCCAACCCTATTCACCAGTGACCTATTTTTCTCACAGGGCTCTTAACAGCATGAAACAGAATTATGTTTTCCCTGTATGTTACAAGGTGGCTAATATAGAACGACCAGAGGCATATATGGCTCAGGTGATTGGCTCAGAAAATCTGTCTGGAACTAAAGCAAAGGCAGCAGCATCCAGCCTACATATACACCAGCAGAGCAACGGCCTTTCAGATAGCTCTCCAGGTTTATTACAACTCCTTGAAATCAACTTAAGAGCAGCTACAGTTGTCTCTGCATATTAAGATAGAAATGAGACTTCTTTAATGTCAGAAAAATGTCCCACATCACCTTTAACCAAACCGAGCAGTATCTCTGATGTGCAGGGAAGCATTAGAAGCCCTTGATTGATAAAGGGAGAAGTCATTCGGTGACATGAGCTTGTGGTCCTAACAGCCTGCACATGAAGAATCTCATATAAAAAAGCAGCTGAATCAAATTTACACAGGCATTAGTTTGATTAGGTGCTCATACAATGAAACCTTTCTTTCTACAATATTTAACAATGAGCTTACCAGGGAAATTCCAGAATGGAAGAAGAGAGAATTTTTAATTGGACTCCTGACAATTGATTTTAATCTTGTAAATCTCACATCTCGTCACTGTCCCTCTCTTTACGCCGGGCATCAGTGATGAAAACGCTCTGTACATTATCTGTGATGTCATCACAGCAGCTCTGTTGTGATTCTGGATGACAGCTCTGGCCTGGGAGGACGGCATAATTAAATCACGACTATAACACACACGCTGCTGGCTCACAAAGACACACACACATCTCCGTATCACTTACGTCTTACCACAATTAAAGTAGTATAATAATGTGCATATGTAGGCTGGATCTTTTAAAAAGCCATTAAAGGACAAGAGCGATGAGGGTTTTTCCATCACATTCCTATGGTGCTTGAAGGGTCGAGGCCTCATTCGAAGGCACATGCTTTCATCTGTAAATGACTCGGAGCCAAACAGATGGTAACACACATTGATCGATCAATATCTCACAGAGAACTTCAGTGGGGTCACGGATATCATTATCGAAATGAAAGGCCACCACACTGTAGCATCACAGCAATCAAAAGTTGTCATTCCATCCAGCTATTGAACAAAATCCTGTCGCTTAAATGGACAGTTCATCCAGAAAAGAAAATTCTGTCATTATTACTTACTCACCCTTATGTTATTCTAAAAATGTACGACTTATACTTATAAAGTATATGATGTAGGCCTATATAAAGAAATATGGAAAGAAATTCTTCAATGCAATGTACTGTAAGTCACATAAAAGTACATCAAATGCATAAATGTATTACAGAGCGGGTGGGAAAATGTATATAGTGGCCGTGAATTCATTCGTTTCTCTTTTTAGTAAATCATGGCCACATTGTATTAATTCATTCCCTTGATATGTTAAATCAAACCGAAGGAACAAATAAGTTCATGATTTACTAAAATGAGGGAACAAATTAATAAGTCGTGGGAACGAACTCTTAACTTGTGTATATAATATGATACTCACTCACCTAAAGGATTATTAGGAACGCCACACTAATACTGTGTTTGACCCCCTTTCGCCTTCAGAACTGCCTTAATTCTACATGGCATTGATTCAACAAGGTGCTGAAAACATTCTTTAGAAATGTTGGCCCATATTGATGGGATAGCATCTTGCATTTGATGGAGATTTGTGGGATGCACATCCAGGGGACGAAGCTCCCGTTCCACCACATCCCAAAGATGCTCTATTGGGTTGAGATCTGGTGACTGTGGGGGCCATTTTAGTACAGTGAACTCATTGTCATTTTTAAGAAATTTGAAATGATTTGAGCGTTGTGACATGGTGCATTATCCTGCTGGAAGTAGCCATCAGAGGATGGGTACATGTTGAACATTAAGGGATGGACATGGTCAGAAACAATGCTCAGGTAGGCCGTGGCATTTAAACGATGCCCAATTGGCACTAAGGGGCCTAAAGTGTGCCAAGAAAACATCCCCCACACCATTACACCACCACCACCAGCCTGCACAGTGGTAACAAGGCATGATGGATCCATGTTCTCATTCTGTTTACACCAAATTCTGACTCTACCATCCGAATGTCTCAACAGAAATCGAGACTCATCAGACCAGGCAACATTTTTCCAGTCTTCAACTGTCCAATTTTGGTGAGCTCTTGCAAATTGTCGCCTCTTTTTCCTATTTGTAGTGGAGATGAGTGGTACCCGGTGGGGTCTTCTGCTGTTGTAGCCCATCCGCCTCAAGGTTGTGCGTGTTGTGGCTTCACAAATGCTTTGCTGCATACCTCGGTTGTAACGAGTGGTTATTTCATTCAAAGTTGCTCTTCTTTTAGATTGAATCAGTCGGCCCATTCTCCTCTGACCTCTAGCGTCAACAAGGCATTTTCGCCCACAGAACTGCCGCATACTGGATGTTTTTCCCTTTTCACTCCATTCTTTGTAAACCCTAGAAATGGTTGTGCTTGAAAATCCCAGTAATTGAGCAGATTGTGAAATACTCAGACCTGGCACCAACAACCATGCCACGCTCAAAATTGCTTAAATCACCTTTCTTTCCCATTCTGACATTTGGAGTTCAGGAGATTGTCTTGACCAGGACCACACCACTAAATGCATTGAAGCAACAGAATCTGAACAGGTATTCATAAAAATCCTTTAGGTGAGTGTCTATATATATAAAAATGTTTTGCACTTTTAATACTAGTGCATAAACTTTGGCATAACAGAAAATAATATATTGTAGACATTTTTGTCCACAGTAAAAGTTAATGGGACCAATACAAAAAATAAAAATAAAAAAATACTGCAGGAAGAAAATAATATAATAGTCTTGTACTTGTTTTTCACATCAAATCCTTCCAAGACCAAATTATTTGAGAGATGTTTGTCTGTCTATCAAAAAAACATCCCAAAGACTTCATGTCAGAAATATCCTCTCATGTTGCCTGTAAAACATGAACGTAGAATTATTCATTGACATTGTGATGACTGATTTATCAGCCTCTGTAGCTGAACGTGATGCAAAAATCTCAGGCCCTCTGGTACAGTATTTCTAGTTTCCTCTTGGTGGTCCGAAGAACATAATTTATTTTAGGATTTCCCCTAACTACATTGAGCTAGAGGACATGAAGCCCAAAATAAAGCTCAACCATTAACTGAGAGGATCTAAAGGATGTTTGATCCCTCAAACAAGACACCAGTTTCCTCCTAGTAACGTTTAGTGCTCTGAATGTCTCAGTTAAACACGAGGATTTAAGCATCAGGGTGCCCGTAAATCTGCAGTATTACCGTGCTAAGATGCCACCGTGAGATGAAGTGTTAATGTCTGTAATATATTTCATTATATCCTATCTTCTTAACTCAACCACCCTGACAAAAACCATTCACTGACAGCCATCTGCAAAACTTCCACATCAGCACACAAACGCAGTGCCATGTTTGACATGCCTCCCAGTGCCTTTTTAGGCCAGTTAGCTTATCAAATGAGTCACATTCTTACCCCTGACTCGAATCATGACTGTCCTCTTCATTAACTCTAGAACACACAGAGAAACGCTAGACAGACATGCACACACAAGCAACAAAACATGTGTGATGCACAACAGTAGGCATCGATGCGAATCCATGCACACAAAAGCATTGGTCCCTGAAACAAATCACTCACAGCATTAGAAGTAGAAGACAAGAACTTCATGACCCATGAGCTGCACAGTACAAGAATTCTGACATACACGATACAGCCCTAATAGCCATTCAAAGGAAAGGAAATTCACAAAGGAGGTCTCAACTGCTTCTCACAGAGAGATCTCTAAAATACACAAATTGTACTCTTATTTCTCTAGTCTGTCATCAGAAATCTTAAAAATTCCTCATTAAATTCTCTACATTTGTGATCCACATTTTTTTGTACCTATACAATCTTACATGTCTTAAATTTGATATCTTCAAATTAATTTTAGGAGAAACCTCTAAGACTAAGTTACAGTAAATGAGATCTCCCCTATGAACGAGCAACCCCTAAGCAATACAATTTTCCTCTGGGTTGTGAAGCATGCCCTCCATATTATGCTATAGATTTCCATAATAATGTCACAAGCTCTCCAGGGTCTCTCAGAGGAGTTGTTTCTGTCCTACACTCTATGTTTTCATCCCCCTGGGTGTTAAAGCACAGAAGCTTGTCTCTGAGAAATATGACTTATGTTTTTTTTTTATTAAGCAACTTTATAAGGACAGAATCAGAGGTGAACCTATATACGCATAGAAAAAAAATATGAGGTTATTTGGTTGCCCCTTTACCATAGTGTAAGTCATGTATAGGGATGCTCAACACTTGCCTTCTTTCAGGATGTGGGTGTAGATCATCCACAGCATGAGCAGGCAGCAGAGAGACGCGCCTCCGCCGGCACAGAGCGCCCGCATCCCCGACTGCATCCTCACTACGTCCCGCAGAAAACACTCCCGGACCCAGCCTAAAGCAAGTTCAAAGCAAACTCGGCTACTTCCATAGATTTTCACGGATATGTGGCCGGGATGCGATGAGACAAGTTAATCCGATGTGAATTTACGCGCAGTGGTTTCCATTTTACGCATCTCATTAAACATATTCAAATGTTTAATTTGAAGGGAGGGGCATTGAAAAGTAATTATTTAATTGTTATTTGATCAATTAAAAATGTAGCAATATAATGTGTAATACGATCGAAAATCAAAGCAAATTAAATTGATGGAGAACTCATTCAAGCAAAGTAAAATGAGTCATAATGTGGTCCGTTGGAAACTGCGCGAATCCTCTGCGGTCTGGAGAAGTAGCTATCCACACAGGGTGAAATGGTCAGTGGTACCAGTCCAGTGGTAACAGGTCCAGAATGTATACGGATGATGACTGTAGATGAGCTCGAGAGGGAGGTTCGTTTTTTGGGTCTTCAGAAAAGCGTCACTCCGACGTTCCCAAACCCGTCCGTGCAGTCATATCATACAGAATCTGTCCTGTGGAGTTACAGAGAACAGCAGTAAAGCATTTCGCGCACATTCTCCGTGATTCATGGCTGGATTTAAAGCTGAGTTCTCCCTCCTCCAGCAAGCGCGCGCACACAAACACACACGCGCGCGCGCACACACAAACACAAATTTATATGTGGTGAGAAGGGATGGGGACCGTAAGGAATTTAACTATTCCGTTTCCTTAACGTTTCATTGAGTACTTTAAAGGAAGAAATGTTGGACAATAAAACTGTTCAGTTTGTGGTCCTAAAACTTATTTTCACACCAAATAGCCTCCTTCAGGAATTTCCTATGGGGTTGACATGGCTATCTGCCCAACAAATAATTTCACGTTTTTTACTTTACCAATTACCTAAGCTACTAGCCTACATTTCATAAGGACTCATTTAAATATTCGTTCGTGAAGAATCGCACTAGCTATACTTGTCGCGCTGGATGCGTCTAGATCCAGTGAAAAGAACCGGCTCTTTAGAATCGCTCCCTCGGGAATCGAAATAGGTCTGCTGTTGGTCGAGTCGTCTGGATTCGAGTCAATAAAAAGAATCGGTTCATTAGAGTCACTCCTTCGGGACTGCAGATGGATTGGTCTATCTTAAAGAGAGCAGAGCACCTATCATGGATTTTTGAAAATGACTGTTCAAGTAGTGCGGAATATAGCTTTAAGGGAATGAAAACATCCTGCAAAGATTTATATCTGAAAGTGCACCGAATATAAAGTTATGGTCTTTCAAAAGTGAGAGTCAACTCTGAGTCTATGAAATGAATTGGTTTTGAAACGAGTCATTAGCTGTTACGTCGTGACGTAGATACAAAAGATTAGCTCATTGGCCGCTCCCAACAACTGCGCGCAGACGGGTAAACTTGAAGTCTAGTCTAGAACACATCAAAAACTTCAGATGATAAGCGTCATGTCGAGAAGACGCTGTTCTACATTGCAAAGACAGTTCAGCCACCTTTTTTTTATTGCCCAGGGACAAGCATGTGAAGAATCAGTGGTTCATATTTGCAACGATACCACAACAGTATAGCCCGAACCTTGTGTTCTCATCATTTTTATGGCGAATCATTCAAAAACATAAGTGAATTCAAATGTGGATTCGCAAGCTGGTTGTTCCCGAAGGACGGCTCAGTATCCAGTGTATGGATCAGGTTCGTCCTCCTCCGAATCACAATCCAAGTAATATTAATAATGTTATGTTTTCTGTAGCATGCACAATATACTGTAGTTGTATTGTGTTGTGTACACTCTGCGCAGCTTCTAAGCGGGGTAAAGTTAGTTTTGTTTTTGATATTCACCAGACATTCTTTGAAAAATGGCAATTACCTCCTAAACGACTTAGCCAAATATGACTTCGCTCTATATAATAAGCACTGCCCCTCAAAACTGCCGCAATGTGAGTTTCGCCGGGAAAGCTCTCTCTTGACGGAGACGCGAGTAAGGGACCGTGTGGAAAGTGCACTTATTCTGACATGTTTGTTCAAACACTATATAAATTTTCAACACTTGACAAGCTATAATCCTGGTTATGGGCGTTGCGTTGCCGACAATCTCTGCCTACGGTTTACCAACAACAACTGACTGGGTCATTTGACCAATCGCCGCAGATTCGCGTCACTCAAAGGAGGTGTTTGGGAAAATGAATCGTCGAACGAATCATTTGGGAGTCGTTGAGCAAATCGGGTAAAAATAAATGCATATTATAAAAAAAACAAAGTGTTTTTTATCCTAGCCGCATGCATGTTAAACTGTTTTTGGCAACTCCCAAAACAAAATAGGAACATTTCAAATGCCATGATAGGAGCTCTTTAAATAATAATACTGAATGGCTGGTGTCTTGTTCATCCCACGAAATGTGTGCTTTCCATTTTGAAATGGATATTTTTAAACTAGCCTAAATCTTCTTCTTTTTTTAAAGAAAGGGTTTTGCCAATCAGAAAAAGCAAAGAAATGTCCAAAAATGTTAATATATTTACATAGCCATTTTAATAAAATGACAGGGAAGATAATTTTATGCTAATAGCTTTCTGCACACTTGAAATATCCAGGTTTCAAATATCAGTTGTTTACTGTTCATGGTAACAGGTTGACCTTCAGATCATTTCCTACAGACAGAAACAAAGCAAACTAACAAGGGATACAAAAGAAAAGACTTAATTGTCAATTGTTAATAAAATAAATTACAATAGCACTCTTTTCATAGTCATTGTTTACACAAAGCACACCTTTTGTGGAATGACCAAGCAATATTTGCAAAGTATTACAAAATCTTGTAACACACTATAGGGTAGTGACTGGAATTGCAACAACATAAGAGTCTAACATGAAATATGTATATGAATACCAGAAAGGATTAGATAGAAAAATAAATAAATGGAATGACTTCTTTCATATTAGTGAATATATGCATAAAATATCAGCCCATAAAAAAAAAATCTTGTAATGCAATATGCATAGTGAGCATTAAACAACAACATTTCCATTGCTTTATTAAACAGGATCACAATCCATCAAACTTATCAGAATAATAAAGGAATTAGTATATGATTATGTAATACGGGTTTAAAAAATGTGTTATATACAACCATCCCACAAATAAGCATTACAAAGGAAAGATCATATATCACAAAGAGATTAACAGACACATACCTCAGGTGATTCATAGCAATATTTTACAAGCTGGAGTGATTGACATGAGAACGCTGCACAAAAACACACCACAAAAAATGTCAAATAGAGTCAAGTTCTTTTTTTCATTGCAAATTCTACTGTGCTCTCAGTGTGTTGTTTTTCCCTCTCACTCTCTCTCTCTCTCTCTCTCTCTCTCCCAAAATCTGCACGTCATTCCCTGGGAGATAAGACCAGGTACAGTTCTTCATCTCCATATTTTGGTATTCTGTACTGCACTGTGCTGTGCTGTGCTGGTGTAAAATCCATTCCCATCTTTCAGTCACGCCAAACCACCATTAAACATGTTTTTCTCCTTTTGCTAATGGCATAAAAAAAAAAAAAAAAAAAAAAAAACGCCATCCTTTGCCAGCAATGTGAAATAAAAAGAAACAAAACATTATTATTTACTCACCCTGTCTTTGCGAACCAGAACGAATGACTTCCTTTCATGGATCACAAAAGATGATATCTTGAAAAATGCGGCTCTTTTCTTTTCAAAGAATGACAAAAGGACAAAAAGACACCATATAAGTACTATATACGACTTATGGGATTATACATTTTCTCCTCTTTTGGACTCTTTTATTATACTTCTGTCCTATTTGGAGCTTGGCGGCCCTTGGTATCTGTATACGGATCCCCTTAAAGGGACATGAAGAAAAAAAATAAGTTGGGAGGAAAAAATATTTGCCAAAGATTTTGCATATGTTTTGTGCAAAGAACACAAAGGTTTTGCGAGCAAATGAAGAGTTCGGATGCAAAAGCCTCTAAATACCATTTGAAATTTTCTTCTTTAATGATGATTTTTATCAAACTTGTATATTTAAGTTCAGTCATTTCACTTAAATAACAATTAATAGGTAATTATCATTGCCATTTAAGTGAAATCACTGAACTTAAATATACAAGCTTAATAAAAATGATCATTCTAGAAGAAAATTTCAAATGGCACTTAGAGGCAAAGTCAGAGGAATGCAAAACATTTGTGAGAGAACGCAAAAATCACAGATTTTTTTTCCTCCAATCTAATATTTTCCCCCCTCAAACATTATTTCCCCTTAAGGCCTCATTATGCTTATAGGGGCTTCATACCTGAAGGTTTTTGGAAGTGGAAAAAAAACATTATTTTCGTGTGGGGAAAAAAAGAAGAAGCTGTTTTAACATTATCTTTTACAGCTTTACAATAGTATAAGTGAGAACATGATGACAAAATCGTTTCGGTAAACTATTCTTCAAAGGAATCGTTCACCAAAAAAAATGGATTCTCTCATAATTCTCATGCCATCCTACATGTTTACGGCTTTCTTTCGTCAGATAAAAAATTTCTAGGACAAAAATCCAGTCCATATGAATGCCACTGGATGGTATTTGAGAAACCACACACAGCGATCGTGACGGTAATCTATACCGTAGTAGTGGATGAATAAATGTCTTCTCAAGGCAAACTATACGTGTGTAAGAAAAACGCACGTATTTGTAACTTTTTAAACTATAAATCATTGATTCTGGTCTACTGCCATTCACAAAAGGGACAAAAGTGCAATGTGAAGCTTGTGAGAAAAGTGGTGGCACTCTGAGCTTCTGCTATTCTCATGCGAACTTCACAAAGCATGTATGTTTATGTCAAGCTGAGCTTGTAAACACGCCTATCGCTTCACTTCAGAAGACATTGATTCGCCCACCGGGCGACTACAGTCGCGATAGCTGTGTATGTTTTTCATGTGTCAACCAAGCAGCAGCCATTCACTTGCATTATATGGAGATACAATTAAAAAATGCGTTTATCTGAAAAAAGAAAGTCCAATACACCAGGGATGCCAAATTACTGGGTGAACAATCCCTTCAAGCACACTGAAAAACGTATTAATCATGCATCTTAAATGTCGATTCGATTTGACCTCTTCTATGCAGTCTTCTTTGGGATGGGCTACAGAACAGTAAACAACAGATGACACCCAGGCTATATTTTAGAGAGCATCTGAGCTCAGAAACGTGACTAGAAGCCCTTAGAAAGCAATAATCTTAAACCAGCGCCACTCACTTCCTCTCAGAAGAGAGAGCATGCCAGAGAAAATGCAACAAAACGCTCAAACCTTGAAACATACCGTGCAAATATATCTAAACGCATTATCACACATCAACACAAATCTAATTTCATTTATTGTATTCTAGCCCTCTGTATGTGTGTGTCTGGCGCTCTGAAGTCAGTACACACGGGCCATCTGTGCGGCCAATAAAGTCCCTGTTTGTGGAGCACGCTGTCAGATTTAGCGCCCTGCTGATGCCTCTCCATCTTCTAAATGACCGTCGTTAAAAACTCCCCACTCATACAGAACCATATCAATAATTCAGACCCAGACCCTACAGCCAGCAGCCTCATTTGCAGGGTCCCGCATGGAAAATGCTCACGGTGAACGCGGACGTAATTATCTGATGTT